AGCTCTGCCCACCTTCGGGATCCAGGAGCTTGGTGAGCCCCAGCTCCTTCTCGGCCAGGTTGAAGGCGTTCTGTAGGTTGTAGTGGGCGTTACACTTCTTCAGGGACTCGAAATCCAGCAGGTCTGGCCTGGGGCGGGAGGAATACAGAAATATCAGAAACACCAAAGATCCTCAAGAGGAAAGCAAAGCCACCCCTTTCTTTATCCCAAGTCACTGAGTCCACTGTGTCCAGGACCAGGCACCCCAGACCCACACTCATGGCGCCCACGCCCCCGGGTTCCCGTCACAAGCCTTCTTTGCAACACTGCGCCCCCACATCCTGGCTCTTCTCCCAGTGTTCATTCCTCACAACTGCTGTGGAGCTCGTCTCATTGCTCCATCAACATGTGTGCGTGCCCCAGGGTCAGTAACCCACCACCCCAGCAGCTCCGACAGGCCCGCTGACCCCTCCTGCTCACCGGTGCTTATGCACAATGGCGTTGAAGGCCAGCCCGTCTCTCCAGCTGGTGGTGAAGTTGTGCACGTTGACATTGGGATACCTACAGAGACGAGGGAAATCAGGTCCAAGCCCTGGTTCGAGCGAGACTCACGGTTCCTGGGGCCTGCCCTTCGGTTATCGCCCGGGCCCGGTGCCTCCCCCCCTCCAAGGCCACACTCCCTGGGCAGCCTCACCCAGCTGTCTTCATCTGGCACCACAGCAGCAAGGCATCCTTGGCTGACTTCTTCTCCTTGTTGTCTTCTGTTTCCACACTGATGTCTTGGATCTAAGAGGGAAGGAAGGGAGGCGTTGACTCCTGGACAGGGGCTCCTGGAGCTATCAGAGATGCTCAGAGATATGCGACAGAAAACTGCTCTCTAGGTTCCTGTCATAGGGGCGGTAGAGTTGGAGCCGGGGGACCTTTCCTCCTGGGCTAGTGACCACAGAACACGGGGTCAAAGGGATCTGCGGCAGCAGAGTGGGGTGGAGTCAGAACAGTGGAAGCACCCTGAAGTGAAAGGTGCTGGTTCCTGCGGGTGGGGATCTTCGGGTGGGCGAGTGAACATTTGCTGAGAGCTGGGTTTCAAAGGTGAAGCGGACAGAGCCCTGCTTAGGGCTGGAAGGAGCAGAGGAGGCTACATCCGGGGAGACCAGGAGGGTTGTGGTGGCACCAGGACACTGGACTGGCCATGCTCGGAGCATAAGGAGTAGGGTGGCTGCTCTTCTCAGGGAGGTAAGCTGAGTCTGAGGCAGAGGAATGGGCCAGTGACCAGACCCAAGATGTAGTTCTAAAACTCTCCGTGGTGAAGAACCAGTTTGTAAAACGTCCAGTCCCTTGTGGACCCACATGTGGTCCTACTGCCCGTGACCTGGACGTAGACCGGGCCACAGGGAACTTGCCACACCAGTCGCTGCCCTGTTTAGTGAGGAGAGTCCCTGATTGCTACACGGTTCTACACCCTCCACTTGTACACTGGTCACACGCTGGACGGGCAGGGGCTGCGCGGTACAGCACGAGGTGCCGGGCCATGCTCTGTGCGGGGTACCTGGAACCGAAGGATGATCGTCCAGACCAGCCCCAGGGTCAGGCGGTGGTTTCCGTCCACAATGTCATGGGACCCCATGTTTTCCAAGTGCACTTTCTGCTCCTTCAGGAACTGCAGGGCCTTGTCCACATTCTCCAGGCAGTGGATCCGCATGCGGCCCTTCGTGGGCTTTGGCTGTTGAGGGTCAGGGGACACAAAGGCATGGGCCCGTGGGCCTCCTCCTCCTCCCCTCTTACCTTCCCGGGCCCTGCTTTGCACACCTTCCCCATGACCTCCCTCGGGAACACAGGGACCGCCTCAGGGCTGGGCCCAAGTTCACGGAGCCAAAGCTGAGGTTGCAGATGAGGCTCGGGCCAGATTAAGATTCCCAAGGGAATTAACTGCACGCAGAGTGGGTGGGAAAAGAAATGTTTTCAATGGGGCCACTGTTCCTGTCTCCATGAAGCAATGCTCCTGCTTAATCCACGCAGCAAAGCCTCAGAAGGAAACCGTGCTCCGTACCGGGCAGCTACTGCTCTCGCTCTGAGGTGTCACTCTCCTCTCTAGGGGAGACCCCTGCAGATCATCCCCTGGACCACCGCTTCTCAGGCCCCCTCCTCCCTGGTGACCACAGCTCACCAGTGTCTCTCCCGACAGCACCTCGAGGAGCCTCAGGAGGTTACGTCCATCCCGGAGGTCGCTGTACAGGTCGCCCACCCGGCAGGTCACCCGGGCCAGGTGCGAGTTCACCCACTTAGTGAAGGTTTTCTTCTGCACGGCTTCTCGCTCATCTGTGGTGGCAACATGAGGTCATTTCTGTCCTTCAAATACAGTTGTTTCTAATCACCAGTTGGTGCGTTTGTGGGGTGAGGGGTGCCTGAGAGGCAGGAGGTGAGGTCTGGGGAGGGGGAGCAGGGAAGGAAGATGGCCAAAAGGAAAATAACTTAAAAAGCAGGGAAATAAAGAAACGGGAATGTGCTCAGTCCAGTAAGATAAAGGACAAAAATGAGAGGGAGATACAGGCTTTGAGAAGAAAGGATGAAAGAAATTAGAAGCTGTGAAACATGGAGGGAAGGGCTGGGATCTGGGATCAGGGCGCGGCCAGGTAATAGTGGTGCAATGGTTACTTCCGCTATCAGAGCCTCACTTTCCTTACCTATAAAATGGGCATAACACTTTCCGCTTCAACAGGGCCCTGTGCTGATTAAACGGGCCGGGTGTGTAAGATGCTGGGTGAGTCTGTGTTCTACGGGAGCCACCCAAGGCCAAGGACAGTGCCCGCCCGGCAGGCCGTGCGGCTGCTCTCTCTGGGTGGTGGGCAAATGGGAGGGTGCGGACCTACAGAACGGCAGCGGCTCTTGCAAGTGGCTATTAGAACGGTGTGATGTCATAGAGCCTGCAGGCTGCCGGAGCCGCTTGCTCTCCTGGGATAATTTAACGACTGGCTTTTCTGAGGTGGGTTCATTCAATGGGCTGCAAGGGATGTGCCCCCGGGACCCCAACCTTCTGACACTGAGAAGAAAAATAAGATCTTGAACTTGGGAACAGGGAAGAGAGTGAGCCCAAGAAACACGGGGTATGTGTGGGGCGGAGTCAGGCAGAGTCAAGTGCCAATTATCTCAAAAAATGAGGAAATGTCCTGTTGCCTGGCCCACAGGGAGGGGCGTTGCTTGAGGGGATGCTCTTAGATCCCACCAAAAAATAAAAATTAAAAATGTCATCAATGACGAACTGAGGGAAGAAGCTCAGGCCACTGGACGCTGCTTCAGTCACTAAGATTTCCGTCAGTTCTCCCCAGGGGAGCCCAGCGCAAGGATCCAGCCCGAGTGGCCAGGACCTGAACAGTCACTCTTGCTTCCCTCTCAGCACCAGCATCTCAGAAACTGAAAAGACTCATCCCTTAATCTCACATTCCTACGCACCTCACCCACAAAACACACGACACACCCGTGTCTCGTCCTGTCTTTCTTACCTCCAACCCCTGCGCCTGGCCAATCTCGGGGTTTTAACAGCTGCCCGGGACAGCTCGTGCTCTGCAGCACTGCGGGACCAAGGGTGCTTTTGGGGTTCCTTTCAGGGTCTATCGACTAAGCCAGGGATTTCCTGGACCACCGGCCACTCCTGGACCCATGGGACTGTCCATGCCAGGCACAGTGTGGGGAGGCCATGTTGGCACACAGATAGAATGAACGGGGCAGACGTGGAAATAGTGACGGCCGGGAGAGAAATGTGCAAAGCCAAGCACTAGAGACAAAGTGTGACTTCATAAGCGTCCACGGCATCCACACAACCCCCAACCACATACAGCGACTTCCAGAAACACACGGAAATACTGGTGCCAGACGAACACACGCCTGCTCAGACGTATACCTAAGTCTGCCTGCACCAACTCCCTTTGACACACTGCCCAGTTCCCACACACACTGCCTCCCCGCATACTCAGACCCACGCAGAAGCTCAGGGCGCCACTCACAAGCCTGGGTCCCTAGGCCTCCTGGGTCACTCCCCGCTCCTCCTTCCCCAAATATCCCGGCAGGCCTGCGCCTTCAAACCCACTGACAGTGAATGTCTCAGTGAGACCTCGCGGGAGGTCTCCATTTGCTGACACGGGCGCTGCTTTTCTCAGCCTCGCCTGCCGCCTCCATGGTCACTGCATTCACTGGGGGACGCAGCGGGGCCTTGTGGTCACACCCACTCACACGCTCACAGACCCTTCCCGTGAGTGGGTCGCAGCCTTTCCCCCATGCTGTCGGCATCCACGGATTTTCTGGCCACTTGTAATTATTCCCCTGGCATACTGTCTCCCAACACAAACGCCTGAGTCACAGCCAACGCTCCACTCCTGTTCTTCACTCTGGCTCCTCTCCCACGCCCCCAGGATCCCCTCCGCTCCCCTGGGCCCGAGGAGCTCACCTTGAAGCTGTTTGAAGCGTCCTTCCAGCACGCTGGCGTACTGAGCGGGGTTGATGAAGGCAGCTGGCGAGAGCAGGAGGCCCCTGGGGTTCTGAGACCCTTCCACAGCCTCATAGTAAAACTCACCAGCCCCGTTCAGGCTGTGCCCGTGCACCCTGCTCACTCCGTTCCCATTCATGGTGCCCGCTGCCTTCTACACAGCTGGGGGCCCAGAGTCCATGCCCTGCCCGCACAGGGGCAGGGTCGCAGGTTCAGCCTCCCTGGAGCCTGGGATCCCCAGAGGCTGGGGTCCTGGGTGGTGGTGAAGGGGGTGGTCCAAAGATGGTAGAAGTTCAAGAGGTTAGGAAAAGGGGTTACAGGATGTCTGGGATCCCGAACTCCCAGACAAGCAGCAGGGCACACCTGGCTGTGGCGAGAGGAGACAGAGGCAGCTCCAGACAAACAGGTTGGACAGTGCCGGGGGAGGGGTGGAGGCGGAGCCCGCGGCTGGGGCAGGGCCAGGCCCTGTGGGGCGGAGGAGGGACTGCAAGCCTCTAAGAGACCTGCCCATCAGGCCCTGAGTTGCCTAAGAGTCCAGAGAAGCCAAGAGAGGATTCCCCAACCACAGTCCTGCTTCCCAAAGGTTGTCAGCTGTGACAAGGATGGCCCCTCTCTGGGAGGCCCCCCTTCAGGACATGGGCTGTGATCCCCAGCTCAGAGAGCAGAGAAAGAGAAACTCCTTATGTCCCTGTATCTGTGAAATCCGCGTTCTTATCCCTCCCACTTGTTTGTCATCATCGCCTCCAGTCCCACCCCTTTCCTGACACTGGCCCCTGGCCCCCAGCCAGGCCATCCCAGGCCCCCAGTACACCCACTGCTGAGCAATCTACCAGATTCCCTTCCGCTGCCTCTGG